CGTCGAGAAAGAGATCAATTGCCTACTCTAGAGGCACCTCTAGACCCTTTTTTTAAGCCAAAAATGCTGGACTGACGGCCCTGATGTTGACGTAGACGTTGCTGATATCATCTGCTTCATGTGTTTGCTTTAAATGGTGCCGCTGCCTTTCAGCTAGGCAACTCCTACTACTATTTCCCACATCAGATTGAAGAAATCGCTCTAAAGTGTGTCAAGCGAATGAGCCTTAGGCTCGTCTCTATACATTATTTCTTCGTCAAACACGGCACTCATGTCACCATGCGAAAGCAGTCCTTTTAGCCATACAATTGTTTGTGCAGTTAAGGGCATAATGAACCAATCAGCTTAAACCATAAGCTGGCATATTTAATTATTACGTTAGTAAGAATATTTAAGTATGTAGAAAGCAAAACTGCAAAAACGCACGCCAGCGTAATTATCCCCGATAACTGTATTTGTTAAAATTAAGGGATAAATATTCAAGTATGTGGCAACGAACGAAGACCCATCCCAACCGTTCGTCCATGCAACATCTGCTGTTGACATATTCCATCTTTCCTAGAGAAATGTCGAAAGAGAGATTAAAATGATATCCGTGATTTAATTTATTTACAACACTTGCGTAATTAATTTTTACAAAAAGAAATTTCATCAAATGACCACTTGAATTAACGAAGTCGATTAACAAAAGAACTTAAAAACAAGAAAGCTTTTCTATAACAAAAAAAAAAATTAATTCACATCAACATCATTAAAAACGCATAGACACGTAGCTTAACTTTTGATTGCGCAGAAATACTTAATGGTTTATGTATATCGAATGGTTTGAGAGCGTCGTTGAATCATATTTGCCCAAAAAAAAAAAATAAAAAATTCCTCACTTGTTTTCATTTATATACTCGAACTTGCAAACTTTCAAAAGGATCCAGAAAGAAATGATTTCACAAAAATGCTCCTACATACATCTTCCCTTTCTATGTACAAAGCTTGCGTTATGGACAAATGAAGTGTGTGAGCCGCTTTTCCCGTTATTTGCTCCGCATGCATATTTTCATCTACTTTTTATGTCTCTTTTGATTTCATTTTCCCTCTGCTGCGTCAATTGTTTGGCATTTGTTTTTTTTTTTATTTTACAACTTCCGCTCCATGCTGAGAGGTCAGTTGAATTGTGTGTGTAATAAGAGTGGCGCTGCTGCGGTCCTTTGTGCGCCAAAAAAAAAAAAAAAAAACAGCATAGTCCTTGTATCGTGTCGTATTGTACGCCATTTTTCTGTGCCACTGATTGCTCCCACCACAGCACAGCACACACTACCTTCTACACAAATGTATGTACTGCGAATCCACTCAGCTTTGGCCGCTTTGATTTGCTCCGTTGAAATATGATTTACGAATTTTTAACTTGTGCCAGCCAGCATATTTCTTCAATTCACTTCGGAAAATTACGTTCGCCGTTTGGCATTTCTTTTTTTATTTGCGAAATCTGTATTTTCTTTTCCTTGCCCAGGAGTACTTTTTCATTTTCATCTGCAAAGTTGGTGAAAAGGCCCTTTGCCGCAGTGGCCAGCAGCGCCATATGTTGTCGCGCCACATGGCGATCGAGCGCGAGCGATGTGTGGTGGGCATTGGATGGAGGCGGGCGAGCGGTCAGTAGCAAGTGGGCGGTACAGAGTGGTGCAACCAATCGGGTTGTGTATGTGTGTGAATGGGGTCTAAATACTTGAAACCGTGATTTGCAGCACTTCGTGAGTGAGTGAGCGATGCCGCGCGCTCCTCTAGCGACCCTGTGCCCCTCGGCCCCTTTGGTTATATTGTGTGAAACTATAATTTGAAGGAACTGTGAAATGTTTTGAAGCTTTTGATTGACGTTCCTTTTTGATGTTTACAATTGTTTGTTTTATTACTTTTTTCGTTGTTTTCTCGCTTAGCTGTTCGCTTTAGTGCCGATAAATTAACTTTTTTACGCAGTTGACCACTTTTTTTGGTGTGTGTGTGTGTGTATGTGTGAGTGTGATTTTTTCCGTTTTCTACTGTTTGTAGTTGAATGAGAATTATTGTTTCTCTAAATTTTATATATGATGCACTTATCAACTTCAGCTAAACTCAGGAGCAGGGGGGCAGCTATTTGAAAACTTAACAAAAGTGAACCCAATTTACGACTTGTTTTTTTTTTTCTTTAACAGAATTTCTGGGAATTTTAAGATGAAGAAAAACTTTGTTTTTTTTGCATACAAACGCACACATGAGCCATATATGTATGTGCATACATCCACACATACATATGTGCATTCATACATACATACATACATACATATATCAGCTGAAGGGAGGAGCGCCCGTTGAAATGTCTGTGGCTTTGTGAGTGGAGAAATATTCCATTTTCATTTTATGCAATTTCTGTTTCTGACATTCACTTAAATGGAAACCTTTAAGGCGTAAAACTGCACTTTTCATAAAGTTGCAAAACACAAAATGCAAAACTTTTCAGGTGAATTGGATTTTTTTTGTTTGTTTCAGCAATGACAATGTATGTAGTTGGCTGAGATTAAGAGAAAATTAAATATTGTATTTTTCTGTTGTTTTGCAACAAATAATATTGTATGGGCCACATATTTTATTGTACGATAAATTGCGTCCATTTTCTAGAATCTAACTGCAGTGATATTAGTAGAACTAATAGAATGATTCGAAAATATCAAAACTAATGTCATTGTTACCTTTTAATTATCCTTTTTTAGTTCTTCGAAGAAGGCAATGAGACGAAAGCCTAAATAGCATTGGAGCAGAGAAAAAGTTCAGAGGAGGACTTCGAGGTTCCATCAAATCTCTGCAGCAAAGATTATAGATGCTCTTTATTGTTTGAAAATCTCTGGGTTCCGATGCCATTCCAAACCGAGCACTCAAAGTTATCTCGAGAGCGAACTCAGAAGTCTTTACCGAACTAAATATGGGACGGCAGTGATTTTAGTCCTGCTACCTAATTCAAAGGAACACAATCTACTCTCCTCAACACAAAGTTAGGAAATGAGACAACTTTCAAGAACTAGCTAGTAGGGACGGGTAAATGCGATATTCGAAGCTTCGAGATTCGAATTTCAATCAAGTTTTAGCTTCAAAATGGCGATTTTTGGAAGCGAACTTTGTGGTGCTAAAATTCGGCTAAAATCGAGTTTTTCTAGAAAAAATGGAATTCCGTCTTTATTTGTAAAAAATAAACTGTGCTACTTTCTTCTTTGCAAGCCATACAGATGTTTTTTCGATCTGATGCATCGATGAAATATTTCACACAGGAGAGTTCGATATACGCAACAGGCCGATTAAATTTGACATTCGCGGCACCTTCTCGCACTTGGCTATTTTGAGTAATAACTCAACGACAGCGCCAACTGTCGGGTTAAACTGTAAAACTAGATCATCCAGAGACCCACTCAAACAGAGACAAAAAATTTCGTTAAAATCCGGACACCCAATCAGGAGGGAGGTTTCCATAGTTACGAGGCATTTATTATTTTTTAGTTCTAGTATATTTTCCTAGTTTGAGAATAAAACCCTCTATTTTCGAATTTTAAGTATAAAAATTTATTCGCCTAAAACAAAAAAATTCGTTTCACAAATATTGCATTTCGACGTTATTCCTCAATACTTTGCTTAAGTTTAAATTCAATTGACTATGCATAAAATATGTACACACATATAATATTTTTGTATAAAACTTTAAAAAAAATCTAAACACTTAAAACTGCTTATGAATAATAATCTGCTCTCATTTTTGTGTCGTAAAAATGACTAGTGAAATAAATTTGAAAAATAAGCTTTTAAAAATATATTTCCATCTTACAACAAAATGTCTTTTAAAACTAATCAAATTAACAACTAGTTAAGTCTAAATGTAAGAGTAATGGAAGATCCCCGCACATACAAAAATAGTATATCAGATTATGTGTGTATGTTTGTGTGTGTGTGTACTTAGTATATATGCATACGTATATATACAATTATATATGTATATAAATATCTGTATATATGAAAATATCTACGTACAAAAATTTAAAATTAGTTGAATTTGGTTTTTGGACAATAACAGTAAATTTTGGTTTTGTCGCAGCAATTTGTGTTTCATAATTTTCCAAAAGTCAAAAATTTTTACAAACTATTGTACTTATGTATGAATGTAAATATGTGCTAGAATTTCGCAAGGTTTAGTCTCAAAATTTTTGTCACATCTTTTAAATTTATTGAGTCTATTTCATATTCTTTGATTAAAATTTGTACAAATTCCATTTCCATTTATTACCGAAAATATGTTTTTATTAATTTTTAACAGAACGCTGTCTGTCTGTCTGTCTGTCCGTATGCAAGTGCGCTGAAATCGTTGCGTTGCGGTTCGTTTGTCTGTATGTGAATATTTGCGCACTTAAGCTCAACTATGTTTACCACTAACCCTGGAAAGTCGCTTACATATATGCATAAGTAGAGTAGGTATACGTAAAGGAAGAAAAAATAAGAAAAGAAAAGCTAAACACCGCACTATATGTATGTACAGTGCCGAACAGAAGTATTGGCATAGTGAATTTTTCGCAATATATGCAAAGTTCTTTATTCTAATTTATTTTCGATAACTTTTTATAAAAATATTGTTCATTCTACTCCAGAAAATATAATAATAAAATCTCTAAACTTTGTGCAGAACTCAGGAAAATTCATTAAATTTGCACACTAATTTGCCACTTTTTATTCCGATTTTTTAGAAAAATTCTTGCGTGAAAAAAAATTACCAAAAATTCACTCGACTTTCTAGCTACTTTAAACTTGCACTTTGTTATACTAAATTTGAATAGGCTATACAACTGCATACTTTGAATTTTTTTAAAAATCTGAATAAAAAGTTGCAAATTAGTGTGCAAATTTAAAGAATTTTCCAAAGTTTAGAGATTTTATTATTATGTTTTCGGGAGTAGAATGAACAATATTTTTATAAAAAATTATCGAAAATAAATTAGAATAAAAAACTTAGCATATATGGCGAAAAATTCACTGTGCCAATACTTTTGTTCGTCACTGTATATGTAGTTGTGTACATACAATACCAACTTCAAGTTCCTAACTAAATATGAAATTGTTGAAAAATTAGAGCTAAAACGCACTAAAGCCTGCAGACTCACGCTCACAAAGAGTCACACACAAAGAGAGTTAAACAAACAAACAGCTAATCCAACAAAAAGTATTTGAAAAATTCAACTCAAAGTCACTACACTAAACTAGAAACTCCTACGAAGCAATAACTTAAATCACATGTTCTTGTTTTTGTTGTTGTTATCATCTTCGTTGTACGCCATTTCCTTATTTAAATATACGACACACACGCTCCTCGAAATACATACATACATACAAACATACCATAATTCACATTCATAAATAATTCTCACACTTGACTTAAAAAAACTACGAAATTAAAAACTAAATTCGAAAGACGATCACTCAAACGTATGTATGTACATGTGTGTGTGTGTGTGTGTATGAGACTCGATTGATGGATCGTTCAATTTCACTTCACTTGCTGGCGAATACTATGAACTATTCGTCATAATCGGTATCGCATCCTCTGTGTCGTCCAACAAGTCTCCCGGCATCGTCTTCAGCAGCGTATAGCTGTCGCGATGCATGAATTTGTGCTGATGCTGCGCAATAAAGCTGCTGCCGCGCCGCAATGAACGGCGACCCATTTCCAGAATCTCCAGGGTGGGATCGCGCGCGAACACGAAGTTTTGGTAGGCACGCACGAAGATAAACACAATGGCGAACGCGCCGCCAAAGATCATCAGATACGAGGAGATCGGTATGATGATGGGCGCGAATACGGTGGCCAAGTAGATCCACCGACGGATGGCTGGCGTTAGCTCGGAGATGCCCTGAAAAGGTGGACATGTTTGAACGAAATCGAATGCAAAAATAATTGTGTGTATAGAATGTCATAGCTATGGTGTGTAGGAGCAGCTCAAATGACTCGATTACTAAACGTTTGAAGCATTAAACGCCGTAGATATAACTATGTACATATGTATGAGTGATGAAGCGAAGCGATACGTGAGAGGTCTCTTCAAAGCTTACTTCTTCTAGCCACATGATGGGAAACACAAAGTCCCGAAAATCCTTAACCGGATACACATCTTTCGCTCGTGTCACCTTGAGATTGAGTTGAATGCGTACTTTGCCTTCGAGTGGAACACCCAATTTCTGAAGGAAACCAGAGAGTCATTTACTAGGACAGAATCAAATGACTTGTCCTTTGAACACTTTTTACTCACCGATTGAATTTTGAAGTATGTTTCATGTACGCTCTTATTCGGTTTGAGTCCCACTACCGAGTCCAGCAACGACTCATCGGCTTGGTAAAAATGTGGATTGGATATATAGACAGGCGCACCGTATTGGCAGGGACTGATATTTTGTAGTCCTTTCTTCGCCTCGTAGTCACTTGGATTGAAGCATTCGTTTTCAGGGTTCTTCGAGGAATCGCCGTAAGAATTCTCCGGCAAGATGTACAGATCAGCGCCGATGCCTAAATATTTGCAAGCACACATACATACATACATACGTTAGTGTCCAAGAATAGGTCACACTTACCATCTTTTTGTACGCCTCTTTGGTACTGCAAAGGTATGACGCGGCACAAATCCTTGTCGTAGAGGTACACCATATCCGATTTTGTTATGTCGCGCGGCGGAAAGAAGGAACCTTCCGAGGCGGCTATACGATTGCAGGGTGGATTGTGCCAGTGCGGTAAGTGATCGAGTCCATTGAGGCGATCTATGTAACCGAATTCTTCCATGCCATGGTGTCCCGTTTTGATTGTTGAGACTTCGGTTAGTGTGCCATTGCGCTGCATAAGGAATCGATGAAGTTATTAGTCGAGCATTAAGATCTTGTTTTTGCTTACCGCAATGAGCAATCCCATACGCTCCATTGGACGCAAATGTTTTGGATAAAATCGATGCGCAAGGCTAACGAGCGCGTCATCGTAGCCAAATACCAACTGATCGGCAGTCACATTGATGAAAGGCTTGAACTTGGCTGCTGTTAGCACCACAGAAATGGTCTTTGATAGCAGGTAACCTAGTTTTGGACTGAGACTAGTAAGAGTCTGCGGAAGAAGAACGAAGTAAGCGATTGCATGTATTTAGAAAATGTATTATTTAACTAACCAATAAAGGAATATTAGGTGTGACTATCGGAGTATTCTTGTCTATGCTCAATTCGGGAACGAATTGTAGAATTTTCTTGTGCTGATATGACACTGTTTGATTGTCGTAGAAATGTACATTCACCTTCTGCATGTCTTCTCTGTAATATAATTATGAAAGAAGAAATAGAAAACACAGTTATTGTTCGCATAGCATAGGATTATTAACAAGCGATTTTTAATCAAAAAACACAACCAACATCGATGCTCATAAACAAATTTAGTAGTACCGCTAGTTCGTTAACGATCCAACGATAGGAACTTCACGAAATTCGTAAAGGACCACCCTCGATTCCCGTAATGCCACTTTTTCAAGGGACCCAGTGAAGATTAAACTATATGCTGGCGAAGAGATTATATGGATTGTCGGGTTTCTTGAAGGTAGTATACCGATTTAGTTGTTACCTATCCAAGGAAGGCGAGTTTTAATCGAGCTGGGCCAGTTACGCTTACCAGCCTCGTCGCCATGTCAATTGCAAATATCTCAGCCAAATATATGCTGCATCTAAGTTCCTGGTCCAGTGTCCATTCTGAAGCCATATTTAAGGACCAGGATCTCGTAATCACTTAGAGCGATACCAAATTCTCAGTAACTTCTGTCGGGAAAGTAGATTTCGAAATTGCGGCTAAAGGTAACATTCGTCATTTGATAATCGTAACTTCTGTACTCTACCCCGGCTTTGTTCAGAATCGAAGCTTGGCTCCTGCCACTTATAGGCAGACTTTTAGATGGCCCAAATCTAAGGCACTTTAGCCCACCACAGCTACACGTTATAGGAAAGAACAGGCCTATCGCCGCATAGTTTTCGACTTGGGAGTGTCGATGGACAAAACCGTAAATATCTCGATAGGAAAAAGATAAAAATATGCAAAAATATGAGTTAAAAAGCTGACCCACGAGAGAAAAAAGTGTCATCATAAAATCATTATATTCAAACCCCCAAAAAAATTTTACTGAAAAATGAACTTAAAAAAAAATTAATACTCTGCTGGCCAGCGCCAACAAAAAAATTCAATCGAGGTATTAAAATTTGTTGTCAAAAGTTGACTAAAAAGTCTTTTAGATGCTAATTTTTTCAAATGCAAAGTTGCGTCTAAATTTTTAGCTTTTGAATCAGATTTTTCAGAATTTTTTTCTGGGTATGGGGCATTTCAATGTGACGAGCAGCGTTGCCTTGAGGTCCAATTGGACCAAAATTGGTAGCTTGATTCTCCGTTGGTAGCTTGGTTGGTTTGATGAAGCAAAAATGTTTTGAAAACTTGCGGCGGGTGGGACAATATTTTGTGACGGGTGGGAAAAGTATCTTTTGAGGACAAATATTTCGTTAGTCAAATGAAAACTAGTCGTTTGATAGAAAAAATTTCGAATATACTTTGTATGGAAGGGAATGCGATAAAAAAAATTTCACTTTATTATACTAGAATTTAATGCACTACAAAACTGCATAGATATTCAACAAAACTCTGAAAAATCTGATTAAAAAGTTGAAAATTTAGATGCAACAACTTTGCAATTTAGAAAATGGGCATCTAAGAGATTTCTTAGCCTGCTTTTGACAATAAATTTGCATTGTTCGGTCGAATATCGTCAAGAAAAGTGCATAAAATCAAACACCAAATTTTTTTTCTTGGAGCTAGCCAGCAAAGTATTCATTATATTCCGAATGTTAATTTTTCAACCAAGTTTTTGAGGTTATATAATGGAACTGCTTTTTCCTTGTAGGCCATTATGGCAGCTTTCGAACCTACATTTTTCCATTTTTGTATCTCAAGTGTTGAGTTGACCCGGGCTTGAACCCAGGCCCTGCCGAATGGTAGCGCGCACTGTTAACCACTACACCGCAGCGACAGCTATACCCATTACATTATCTTCGGCCATAGCCCCCAGTCTTTTCCCCAATTGTACTCTTGCAGGTGTGGAGTGCATTGAGCGCTTGCCTTCTTCCTTCTCCGCTCTGCAATATCTATTTTCCAGAAAAACTTAGGGTCGCGAATAACTTGCTTCAAACATGAAAAATTTGCACCTTGTGCTATAATAGCCGATAAATACATTTGTTTGTATGAATGTATGTACATCAAAACTACAACACAATGCCTTAGTGCTGCCAAAGTCAAGGTAAGTCACTCAATGTTTGTGACTTGATTTATGCAATCGCCGATCGCAGTGTTTGCCTAATTCAATGCATCAAAGCCGTTAACCCACTATTTATTCACAGGTACTGTGTGGTTCATCACACAATAAGTTGAATGTCAAGTTCACCACTAAACTAAGCAGCAACAGACTTCATTCACCCTGCACGCTGATGTGATGCTTAGGCTCAAAGGTGCGGTGCGGAAATTCCCATATTTATTTACAATTGCTTTGCTCTTCAAAGATCTGTTTAGTTCCGTTGCCGCTGTAGCTATTCGAATTTGTGTCTACATATTTGTTGTTGTTTTTGCTGTGGTTGTCTTGTGTAGAGGTAAGTGTAAATTAAATCTAATCACGCATTTCTACATTCAAATATGTATGTATGTATTTATTATTGTTTACACTCGCCTATTGTCAGCTTTTGTCAGCGTTTTTGTCTGTGTTTTTGTGCATTTGTCATCTAAACTATCTCTCAGCTCGATTTGTCTGACAGTCATACATATATGTACATATTTATTGTTTGTTTTTGTGTCGCTGATACTTGGCTGCGGTTTTCGTCTTATTTCTTTTTTTGTTCCTTTTTTTCTGTCTTTGACGTTTCAAGTGCGACGTCACTTTTCATTCATCGTTTAGGCGCTACCGCATCATAAAAATATTTGATGTTGTGACGTACCGCCAGTGTAACCGCCCCATTATGCCGGTGACAAATGAAAGAAGTTACCCATTTACCTGTGGTTAAATACTTTTAGTGCCGCCTGTAAAATATTTTACGAGTTTACCTTTTTAATGTTACAAAAAGTGTACGCAATATTTATGTCTCAAGGTTTTTACTGACACTTTAGTATCGTGCGGGTGAGGAGATCCAAGTGAACAGAGGGGAGTTCACAAGACCAATTTTTTAGTAGCATAAGTCGTTCAACTAAATAATGATATGATTCACCTCGATTTGAGGATAACTTTGCTTTGGGTATGCAATTTTATCAGTACGATTATTTAAAGGCAGAGCGCTTAGGGGCGCAAAGCTTTAGGATCCTTGATTTGTGTGAAAAAAGCACACTGAGTTTTGCATGAGAAGCTCGGCCAAGAGACCGAAACGTTATTGCCAAATATCCGTACATACACTTTCACCAATGTGTGTGTGTGTGCATGCACATATGTATGTACCCTGCAGTGAAAAGCCAAATCAGTCAGCCAACTACCAGTTCATTAACTAGTATATGCTAAAGAGATAGCATAGTAGGACATCGCCATGTAAAAAATACCAGACGCTAACATGAAAAGGGATGTAACGAGAAAACGAGTTGGGCTGAAACGCAAACTGGTAGAATTCTAGTTCACAACCAGTGTTGCCAGAACTTTTTGGGCCGACCGGCTAGATTGGCAAAAAAAACCGCTAAAAACGGCTAAAATATTTTAGTGAAAATTCACATGCTTTATTTAAATAAATCGCAAGAAACGAAAGACTAGTTAACACCATTAATTTATATCGAGTGTATATTCCTCATCATCAAATGAATCACTATTGTATATTAAGAGATCGTCATTAATTTTAAGAGATCGTCATCTACAGTAAAATTATGGCAGCAGTTTTCTTCGCGTTTTAAACCGTATCTTATATATAAAATAGCGTTTAACGTTTTAACGCACATTGGATTTCTTTGCTTAGTTTTTATTATATTCATTGAACTAAATATTCGCTCTACTTCTGCATTACTTATAGGCAAAACAAGAAAACTAAAAACTAGGTTGGAAAGGTCAGCAAAAGGGTTTTCTCCTAGGGCATTTCGAAATTGATAAACTTCGGCCCAAAATTTTACAGTTGAGTCTAAATTACTCCAGGTATGTAACGTTAACCGTAGCCATTGCATCTCTATGGATGTTATTTCGTCAGCATTATATTTGTGTTTTTGTTGCTGTAGTTGAACAAATACTTTTGGTTTAATTACTCTTAATGCATTTCCAACCGAAAAAAGTCAATTTTTTTAGTGTGGCAATATTTGCAGGGAGGCGTTGGCGTAATTTCTTTATTAAAGTGATAATAAAATAGCGACCATTTTCTCGAATTATTTTCTCGGCTTCGTGGTCAAAAGCGTTTTTGCTTACTTTTGTTTTTAAATACTCTTCAAAACTGTGATAAAACTGAAGAAATGGAGCAAGGTATGGTTCCAACGCGGAGCATATAGGATCAAATGTGTCCGCGCTAATAACCACTAGAGAGCATTGATGCGAAAGTAAAACATTGAGTTCATTAAAAGTCTTCATTGGGTCTGCATTATTGCTTTCGAACAACTTGTTTACTTTTTGCACCTGAAAATTAGGCAAATAGTAAAATCCATATATGCAATACTCCTACACTACAGTACAGATATATCAATAAACACGTACGAAAGAAAAGGAACATACCATTTATAAATAAACATGTACACAACACATCTACAAAACCGGCACTCAAGTACACAATACATTGACAAATCAGTACTAGACTGTCTCGCTTTGATTTCGGAATGCTTACACATTGAGATGTTAGCTTACTATCAATATAGAAGTATTACATATATGGTAAAATCGGCTAAAAACGGCTAACTTTTTTTTACAAACCGGCTAACAAATCGGCTGCCGGCTAGATCGAATTTTCTCCGGCTAGTTGCTATCAAAACTGGCTAAATCTAGCCGGAAAACGGCTAAAATGGCAACGCTGTTCACAACTAGCAGCTTTCCCTGCCGGGTATCTACACACATTTGTTCTAATTTTAAAGACACGCGTATAACATATTTATGTATGTGTGTATGTATATCCCAAATAAAAGATTTTGTTGCTGCCTGTTGGATGTTGATACTGAGGTTATCAGAGTTTTCATGTTGGCACTACTCAAATCTGAACCTCGCCCATGCGAACGGGAAAGAAGAGAAAAACTACAAAATTTTTATAACAAATCGTTTGAACTTTTAGCGCAATAAATTAAGTTTTCAACGAATAAAAATATATAAATAAATAAAAACATTGCTGGGGTAGTAAACGTTTTAATCCACTTGATATGGTTCAATTCTAAAACGTATGTAGTATAAATATGAGTTAGACGAATAAAAATTTAATAACTCACTTTATTGCTAACAATATGGCATAAGTGGCTTCAATTAAAAAAAATAAATGTGATTTTACGTCTACGTTAAACGCACGAATCGCTTGAATTATCATTTTGTATTCACTATGTAAACTGCTCTGATATTATATATGTATAGATGAATATATTATTTCGCATTAGCAATTATGGCAAAGGAAACTTTTCACGTTTGAATTTGCTGAACTTTGTTCCATTGAGGTGATTTACTTACGCACAGACATTTTATATAACTTTTTTTTTTTTTTTTGAGTAAATTTTATTCAAAATAAAAAGCATTTGAAAAAACCTTGTAAATTAAGATTTCTTTCCGTAAACAAATTAGTTACTTAATAAATCATTTAATGATAATATCTTAATTGTCTAATCATACCAGATCTAAACAGCCGCAATTGTGGATCGTAAAAAAACATCAATTAAAATAAATGCACACATATACACATATCTATGTAGATAAGTATCTAGAAAAGCGATAGAAAACTCTTACCAAAGTACACAATTAAGGACGTCAATCATTTAAAAAATAATTGCTTATTGTACATAACTGTCATAACTGACCGGATAACGGTAGCAACTGTACATCAAATAGAAAGCTAATACCTGCGGAAATTCAAGATGAAAGTCACTAGTTGAAATGTCTGAATGGCAAGTGAGGCGCTCTTCCGATTTGTGACGGATGTGGTGTGGCGGATGTGGGCATGCCAGCTCCAGTAAACTAGTCTTATGACAAAAGAACGTCCTAGAAGCGACGCTTAAAATCCAATGAGGTTGTTTTTTTACACAAATAAGATTTTTACTCTTAGAACATATTTTTAACAAACACATATTTATTTACATTAATGTATGTCTGAATTTCCAATAGTTGTTGTAAGTCTCTTTTCCTGTCCACTTAAAATACTATTCATCATTTATTGGCTTTCACAGCTTTATTTTTTTGATTCAAATTTATTGATGTAGTTATGTTTTCAACAACAATTAAAAATAATTTTTAACCTATTATCGATTTAACGCTTTATTTATATTAAAAATTTTGTATTCACAAATGAAACAATTTATTGCCGCTTAATAAGGCGTGCATAATTTTTGTAGGGCCGGAATGACCTTGGAAAGTTAATTGGAGTTCAATGGGTAGCAATAGGACGGCTAACGAGTGGCGGCAGTCATTACTCATTTAAGTCTAATCTTGCAAATTTGAGGCCGTTTTTTTTGTCAAATTTGTTGTGCCTCAGAATAAGTTGGAAAATACTTTGGCAATTATTTACTTGAAATAGAGGTGCTTTCCATACTTAAAATTTTACTTGCCTGATTTTTTCAATGGCAATGTGGCTATAAAATAATGTTTCAGTTGAGAATAGAAGAATATTGATGCAATTGTTATAATAAAGCAGAATGCTTTATCGCTTTATCATCCAAAATTTTTAATACATATTTTTCCACAATAAGTTTTCACTTAAAACGGCCTCAAGCTCATAAAAATTGTTGAATATAATTGTTATAAGGCCATAAAATAACAAAAAAACATATAAAAAAATGATTGAAAATTATTTGATATGGAGAAAATAAGCGACACCTTCTATGAACAAATTTGCCAAAAAGTTAAAAAACTGCATACTCAACTTTTTTCTAAAGAGTGTAAATAAAACGTGCAATTTTCGGATGAAAATTCGCAGAACTTCTTAAATTTTGCACAAGCTTTGCGGTTTTTGTTGTAGAATCAACTATATTTTTTATAAAAAAATAGCGGAAAAAAAAATTATAAAAAAATAGTTACCCGTATTGCGAAAAAATCTCTGTACCTAAACTTTATTGACTGACTGTGCATACACTAAAAAAAAAAAGTTGTCATCAGGACGCTGCTATTTAGCCATCAACGTGAAACTTTCGAGTATCTATTTCTCCTCATTAATCATCTTATCTAAATGATATTTTTCGTGCTTACACTGACAAATTTTTCGTTGTTAATTGAAACCAAAATGACTATACAGGTCTCAATTTGATATTGTGAAGGGTAAAACTTGTGTTTTTTCTCATCAAATTAATAACTAAAACACACATCCAATACTTTTCAATATACTTTTTGTATTATTAATTAAAGTTTCATTTTAACACAACGCGTATTAAACCCATAGTGTTGCTTTTTTTAAGTGTATATATATTTAAAACAAAACAGATCAGATCAGATGCATCGTGAATCCGGATTAATATTGCCGCCTGTCTATACTAAGATTGCTCGATAATCATGATCATGCTTAAAATAACGATTATATCCTAGAATTGAATTTAAGCTTTATTCAAGGACTTTTACGCTTTAATTTAAAAGCTCTCCATGTCACATGATCTCGGATGGCAAAGGGCCTACATACATTGACATCCGATTTTCCATGCAAAATTAAGTAAGTTTACAGGATTTACGTGGTTACGAGTCATTTACACGTTTATATGAATTGCCCTAATATGTTTTTTTATAAGTTAAGAAAAAGACATTGACAGAGGCATTAAATGAAATTTTACTTTTACTTGATTCGCTCTTAAGCGTATTTAGTTGGCACGAAAACCATTCTTGCAAAATAGTACTTATTTATTTGTAGTAAACAATTGCATTTGCACATGCCAGTAGGTATGAAATATTTTATTTATTGCAAAATGCATTGCACTTTTAATTAACCCGATTTTTTGTTGTTGTTGCAGTGTGACGATTCGTGCTTTCTGCGCTATTAACTTCTTCAATAATGCAAGCTGAGCACTTTTTTATTTGTTAAAATTTTCAAAAAGTTTCAGCGGAAAGCAGAAAGTCAGCGAAAAATGCATGCATGTACATATGTATGTATGTGTGTAAAAGAAAAAAATAATCGCAATAGTCATTTCGCTTATAATTGCATTTTAATAACTAGCACTCTAAAAAGCCGAAATATTTAGGTAGAGAGGATTGGCCATTTACCCAAAATGACAAACCGGCATTTGAGCGGCATTTGAGCTTTGCTTATGCTCAGGCAATTGGTTCAATTGACAGAAGCGTGACGACAGAAGCCGAAATAAAATTTAGTCATTAACAAAAAAAAAGCAACATATATATTTGACTTGAAATAGAAGATGGTTTTCTCATAACAAATTTAATATTATTTACATATATATATGTAGTTAGAAGGAAAATAAATATCCAAATAGTACGTACTATTTATTTTAATGCCATTAAAAAGCAGTTTTAGGTAATTATTTCCCAATTGGCATATGCACTACATATAAGGCCCATGACAATAGGATTAAATTAAAACGCGGTTTTCTAAAATTTAGAATTATACTATATATGTATGTATGTAGTTAACTTACCTATAAACGAATGGCCCCACTTCCGTTAAGCTCGGCTTTTCCCCATTCAGGAATTCATCTGGATTTGTGACATTATATATATAGACTTTAGTTAATCGTATGACACCAGGCCTCTGCCAGTAATGAAAACTTAACGTATCATTCCATAGCCTTAAATTCTATAAGTAAATGTAATAAGACAAATAATATCAAAAGTTGATTAATTTGGTACGCAATTGAAATTGAAAAAAGAGATGCCGATGGATTGAGTTGAAAACACTTAATTCAGTTATTAACTAATAAGATTTCTTTGAACACACAAACACTTGCACAAGTAATTTTTAAGCAAAAAACAAAATCGACTTCAATTCTCATATAAAAATTTAAAAGTACCGTTAATTTCTCTTCCACCTCTTTGGTACCAACTTTCCTTTAAAAAAAAGTATTATAGGAATCGGTTAACGTGGTCCAAAGTTAAACGGTAGCATACCACATAAAAATTAAATAAAAAAAAAAATATTCCGACGAATTGATAACCGCCTCCTTTTACATACATACATAAAAAAAGAAACAAAAAAAATATTCCGACGAACTGATAACCTCATCCTTTTTTGGAAGTCGGTTAAAAAAAACAACTCGTGGAATTTGGTCATATATACATGCATATGTATGTAGAATTCTTTGAAGTTTTTAATGTTCATAAAGATTTAGGAGGATTTGTTTAGTTTCGAAGGTTTTTTCTTTTAAAATGTGACGCGATTATAAAAACATGTAATTTTTACTTGATCTGGCATCGATATTTAAGAATGTATGTATGTATATTAATCTATATATTGAGCTGCTGACTTACCTTTAATATAAAATAATCAAGCCATGGTATTGTTGATAGCATTATTCCTAAAATTAATGTTACTATTCCAATAATTATCACAGCTAGTCTATCTGAAATTAAATAAAAAAAAGATTATGAGCAATGGGTTAAACAAAGCAACCAAATGTAAAATTAATTAATTTATGTACAGAATTTCGTATTTTATTGATAAATTGAATATCATTACTTGGCAGATTTTTCTTAGCTTAAAAATTTTTTGCACATACCAAAAGATAAGCCTTGTGGCGGATTGTTAACCGGCAATGGGGACACCTACAAAAATTGCGTATTTGTCAAACTGGGTCCGGGGGACCACAAGTAATGCCACGTACGTTATATTTAATGTATCGACTCGAACCCTGCACCTTACCCAAGTTTAAAACTTATTCTTTATAATGTGTTTTTAATTATAATATCGGGAAAAAATGGAAATAAAACTATATTTAATTTATTGACTATTTTCATGAGTAACTTCATAAAAATGTTAATTTCTGCTATATGCCAAAACAATTTTGTCATTGTGTTGAAGAAAGACGTAATATATTAAGTATTAAAATTTTTCTATGTCAAATAACGATTAAAATGGTTTTAAAGGATTTCTAGCTACACCGATAACCGGTTAACGGAAAAACGTGCCTCGAAGCCCCAAAGTTCAGAATATTAATGATATTTATTAAAATGTGGTAAATATAGGCTATAAGGCAGTTGGCCCTTCGCGGGTATATTTTTATGGCATTTATGTGCTTCTGCCTACTGAATATATGCCAACATGGAAAAAATGTTGATATCTGCTAAAATTTTCAAGACATATGCTCTTTTCTCCGGAAATCACAATTCAAATTATTTTGAAAAGCAGAGAAGTTTCTGAAGGCGTAGCAAAGCCAAAAGCTTTATTAGCTTTACGTAAAAAACTTAAGCTAAATATGTAAATGTGAAAGTTTACCATCTTATCAAGTATAATTTTCCGAAACAGTGCGGTCAAAACTTTTAAAAAATACTCTGGTCTTACTCTATAAAAAGAACCAGCTGCCTCGATTTGGTTTGATTGTTTAAAGTAATTTTATGTATGAAATGGAACTAACTCTCTGTTCAGAGGGTTAAGTTCGGCATTCGACTTGACCCAATCAAATTCGCAACAACGCCAGCTGTCCATTCCCGATTCACATTCGCCTGGTTTATAGCTTTTAGCTGAGTTAAGTGTGAACGGATGTTGTCACAAGTCGATTGCACATACATACACTTATGTGCATTCATAGCAAATACATATCTGGACAATAAACGGAAAGTGTTAATTGAAGGCAACAAAATCTGTAATGTAAGTGCAATGTGTACATACTCGTAAATACTTAAGTGTCTAGTACGTACTGCAAAATAAAATATATGTACAAACAAATGTGTGTACATATTGACATACTTATGTATGTATGTACATTAGCGTGGGCCAAAAATCCGCTTTTTTAAAAAAATCTGTATGAAATTCGGAATTTTTTGGTCAATATCCTAGGCTCGCCCAAGTCCATTAAGGGTCAATATGCTCAAAAAATAAAAATTTATAAAGAAATTAATTAATACATTTTTTTTACTAAAATTGCAATAATCGTCGAAAGAGTATTAGTCCTCCATAATTTGGTATATGCAGCTTTTTTGTAGAGAATCGAAGTTAGATAAGAAAAATTTTTTTTTAGTACTTGAACTTTGCTTGACTTGGGCGAGCCTAGTATATTGACCAAAAATTTTCACATTTCACACAGATTTTTTTTAGAGCGTAATGAACCAAATTTTTGCTATTACCAATCGAAATACTAAAAAAGCGGATTTTCGACCCAAGCTAATGTACATATGTACATATTTAGATGCATATAAAAAGCTGACTTTACTAAGATGGGCGATGCTGTGCCGTTGGGAACTTTGGGAATTCCTGCTTAATATATAGTAAACGTGAATGGCGTGACGTTGTGAACTTGCACACATCCGTACATATGTATGTGTATATATTAGGGTGGTCCAAAAATGCTTGTAAAAAAGTAAAGTCGGAATTTTTATGCTCTCACCCCCTAGGATTGTTCTATACCAAAATATACACCCCATTTTTTTTTTTTTGAAATCAAAAAATATTTAGAGGTCGCGCAAAGTGCCCAAAGTTTTCAATGTATTTTATATGGGGAAAAAACAACATTTCGTAGAAATGGTAGAGAATTCTTAAAAATCAATGTTTTTCTCTCGGAAAACTCTGTTTATAGAAATGGTATAGAATTCTTAAAAATCAATGTTTTTCTCTCGGAGAACTCTGTTTATCTGCAGGAGATTCCCAATAGTAATACCCAATTGTTTATTTATCCATTGATTTCAAAAAAAAAAATAGGGGTATAATTTTTTTCGATATAGTACAATCTTAGGGGTGAGAGCATTACCATTCCGACTTTACTGTTTATGGACCACCTTAATGCACATACACCTGCGCTTATGCATGATTCGATATGCACGTATGTATGTACGTATGTAATATGTACAATGCTTTATTGCCCTGTTGATTGCGTAATCGAATAAACTGTGCCGCTGATGAAAACTCACCACAAGGACTACCCATCTCAGCGTTGAGCCGAGTGAAGTGTGTCGAAATTTGCCACAATTAAGTTATCATTTGATTTTGAGGCTTAGAATTCTTGAATGGAGTTGCATATATGTATGCGCATAAATGGAACTCTTAAGTCGTTATACATACATATGTAGGTATTTAAGCACATTTGTGATTAAGCTTTAAGCACTATTAAGCTAGATAAGCCTTAATATGCGTGAGGATACTGACATTAATGATGGCAATGCCGAACATGGATTTCATTTCATATCTACATATCTTTTTACACTGAGGTCAGAACTGATGTATAAGTAAATATTTCACTTTTTATAAAATACAAAGCTTAAGATATTCTTTCGTGAGCGAATATGCCCTAACTGAATATTTTTGCAATTAACTCCCATCGTTTCTTACCCAATGACCAAATTTTCACTTGCACCAACTTAGCGGGCAAATTCGTATAGAGCACAAAGGATTCCTCACATTTCTGACAGGTGATGACGTCCACCCAAATATTTGTATTTTTATAATAATTGCCAAGTTGCTTGTTTGTTGTTGTTTGTTGTTGTTTCGGTTGTTCTTGTTGTGCTGCTGCGTCGGCGGTCTTGGAGCAAAAACTGCAAATATAGCTCAGCAGTGAGCGCATCGCATTTAACTGCGCTGTCTTATTGCCGCGTAGAATCATGAAGCACTCACTATTGTACACTTCTTTTTTTCTAACCTACGAGTTTATAATTTTTTTCTAGTCGTTTTGCAATATTTGAAAGAAATCATCAATTGCATGTGCAAAATATGCACAGTGATTGAGGAGGCATGCACAAATACAATCGATCAATTGCTATAGGTACGTACAGCTTGAAAATGCAATGTCACTTCACCGTTTTATTTGTTTGCATGTAGACGTAAGCTAAATATTTTTAACATGCAAAGCGTATGAGCACAGCTTCTAGAGGAAGTTTACAATAAAATGTTTAAATTATATTATTTTTATTTTACTTAAAACACGTAAACTTATAAATAATTGTGGCACAAATTTCAATTAAATCACTTCAATCGCTCAACTAAATATATAAAATCCGATTGATTTATTAACTTTTTTTCACTTTCTATATTTGAAGAGCTTCTGTAACAGTGCAAAGTTTTTAGTTTCAATTATGATTTTTTTTATTTTCTATTTTGTGTAATGAAGTTTGTTGTTGAACTTCACTTGGTACTTTCGAGCCTTGCGCGCTCAGCTTCAACTTTCATTTAGAAATTGATTCAAAGCCACTTCAAACTTTCAACGTGTGAAGTTGTTGAGTGAATACCATAATGTCGCCTTTCTTCGGTTCACTCTTAGAGCTAGCTGTGCATTGGCTTTATTGCTCACTTGCTCAATTGTTTGTGTTTATGCGAATATGCTACATAGTATATGGAAATTTTCGAAATTTTTCACTTGCTACTGCACTTTTTATTTCTGTTCGTTTTGGTATTCTTTGAGGCCCATAATTTGTTAAGTCAGCATTACGTACATATTTTCATATGTGTTATCGAAAAAAATTAACTTTGGAAAAATGTAAAAATTGCAAACTTTGCATTTTAGTCGATTATATGGAACATTCTGTGCACATAAGCATAAGCATTCTGGTGAAAGTGTTCACTTCAATTTATGTAAAGAGAACGTAGAACTTTCGCAAAGTAGAGTAACCGAGAACTCGGAAATATACATACATACATATACGATTATATTTAGTATATATGTACATATGCATTTATGCATATTTTAGGTATGGTAACGGTTATTATGTTTATAATAAAATTCATTCTACCTTTAAAACTGAATTTCTGTTTTTCCGATCAAATTTAACCGTTATTTTATGATATATATGTACATATATTTTCGATCATGAATAATTTTTACAGTATGAATTTAATTTTACAGATTACATTTTTTAGATCATAAAAGATTTAAAACGGTCATAAGAACGCAGTCATTGTAACGGTTAAAAAGTATCGCAAAAAAAAATCAAAAAACGATTATTTTTCATTGAAAAAAAAAATATATAAAAATCAAAAACTAACGATTGAATTCGACCGGAAAAATTTAGGCCATAATATATCGATTATCCCTTAAAGGAAAAAACACGATTGTGCAAAGTTCTCAAAATAAAAAACGTGGTTCTTAACGGTTATTTTCGGTGACTGGGATTTTTATACACATACAGTGGGAAGCAGTGAGTTGAATTTTTCTAAGTTCTGTATAAAGTTTAAAAATTTGATTCATATGGTTACTTTTATAAAAAAAAGACAAAAACAAATTCAACTTTAAAAACCTTGAAATTATTTAACAAAAATTACGATGCACTCAGTTTTGCTTCCCACTGTATATTTATAATCAATGGCACAACATTTACATGTCCATAAGGTAAGTAAAGAACATTTGAAGAAATGCCTGCTTGCAGTAATTCATCTCCAAGATTAATACTTTACTTGAGTGATGTTTAAAATCTCCCAAGT